CATAATAGGTAGTGCTAAGTAACATTTAAATAAATAGACTGCAAGTTAATCGTTATATTCTTATCTATATATGTACATATATATATATTTTATATGCCTTAGATTTAGTTTTAGACTAAAAACCTCTTAACCTCACCTCTTTTATAATAGCCATTAATCTTGTAAACGTCTATACATCTTTGAGATATTTCTACATACTCTCAACTACATAAAATGAGTACTCAAAAATAATTTAAATAAATAAATAAATTAAAAACTATATATTCCTTCAGTAAATACCCCATATAAACCTTTATTAAATATTCAGACCAAAATCTTAACAAAGTACTTATAATAATACCATTTAATTTTCTATTATTTGCCCCACAATTGTAATGCTCATTGAACTTGGCCATCCATCTGAAGGTTTCTTTCCCAAAAAACAATTTTCAATCAACTTTGAAAAGAGAGGGTCATACATGGTAAGATAGAGACGGATAGAGACAGTACCAACGACGGGTAGACTGAAGAGCGACCGTGTCCAATCGAAATAATATATTGTAAGATCTATTTGTGGTCTGCTTACAACAAAGGACAGTACCGAAGACAGAAGACAGGGGCGGTGGGAAACGAACCCCTCGAACCGAAAACCGAAAGATAGAAGCTGAACTGAAAAGATTCGAAGGTCATAGAAACTGTCAAAGATGAGATGGATATTTTGGATCTGTAGAGAAACAGGCCCATATGAATGGTATGAATTGGTTGCTGTGATTGCCCATAGACAAATTGTCAAGAAACATGACAATTGAGGATTTTGCACACAGCCTTTTTTCCCCAGAGTTTTTCCCCGATTTTTCCTGAACAAATTTTCCGCTCTGTTGTTTGCCGGGCGGGTGGATGGATGGATGGATGGGTCAAGTTTTCACTGTGGGAATAATGACACTTTTGAGTCCGGGGAGGAAAACAAAACAGCAGCAGCTAACAATCAACTACAATGGAATTGATGGCATTATAATATGGGAGCAGGCTGTAATTCCGAGGCTTAGTAATGGGAGAAGATGGCCCGAAACATTGTCTCGGATTAGGGGTTTTAAGGGTTTTACTTTCTTTTCAGGCTAAATCGGGTCAAGTCGGGTTACGGACAGGTTTTTGGCAGAAAATGGATATTTTTTTAGATATATTATAAGCCTAAAAACAACCTCACCCTATCAAAAATATATTAAAAACGTCGTGTTGCTTGAAACTGTCAGTTGGTAATAAGCAAATAGATTACCATTGCCAAAAATCAAATTAAAAAAGTCTTTGGCTACTTGAGAATTTTCTAGTTAATATACATATTAGAAGAAGAACACATGTATTTTTCGAAAATTCTCAGTTCTGAAAAGCCAATTCGTGGAAGAGATTTTTCAACAAAAAAAATTAATCGTTCAAATGTATGGTTTTTGCTTTGTTTTTGGAATGTGACAGCTAGAAACATTTTCCAATTTTCTAATACGTACCACCCCTCCACGGTGCCACGTGCCGATGGAAATAAAAATAATGAGCACGTCCACAAGTCCACCTACATACGACGATAGAGGTTGCCTTTGACAAGTCCAAGATACTTTTTGTATCTTAGCTGCGCAAATCTCGATCGAACTAATTTTTTATATATTTTTTTTTTTGGGCTACAACACGTGCCGTTGCTGAGATAGAACTGGAAAGCCTCCATGGCCAGAAATTCCCAAAAAAACAAAAGTAAAATTAATTGGCCAACAACTGCGGATGTGTTGGAGTGGTTGGGTTAGAGCGGTATGGTTTAAAACACAAAAACCAGAGGACTTGACCAAATATTTGCTAGCTTTTTTTTTTATTTTCTTCCCCTAATGTCTACAAATATATGTTAGATAGATAGATAGATACAAATGCCTCAATAACAGAAATTCCGCATTCGAAAATATGCATGCGAATTGTTGACAAAAATGACACACCGAATCTATTTATTCAGTTTAGAATGGAAAACACGATGGAAAGGTTAAACAAAGCCCAGAAGCAAATAAGAAGTTAAATAATATGACAAATATTAACCCAGACCCCAGTCGTCTCTGGTTTTGGATCATGGATCTGGAATTTCGGAGTCAACTGTTGTATGGGGAATACCATGCAGATGTTCGTTCTCGATTCCAATTTCCAACTTTTTTTTTTTTATTTGTATCTTTTTATAAATAAAACCATAACTATGGGAAAACACGCCGCGAAAAGGTGGCCTAGGCTAAGAATGTTGGTGGAGACGCGTGTTGGCCATAATATGGGTGGAAAACTATCTTGAGCTGGTCAAAAATAATCAGGAGGATTTACGCACCATACCCCCCTTCCTCGTTTTTCCAAAATATTTTTGAAAACATCAATAAATTACAAAGTCAAGGAAATTATCAGTGGCAGGCGCGTCAGCAGCCCCCAGCATCATCATCAACATCATCACACGTTGCCTTGACTCGAGAGACAGGAAAACAAAAACAAAGACGCGCCACAATAATTTCGTATTAAATATATATAAAATAAACATAAAAAATAAAAGAGTAAAGGACATAAAATTTAAACCAAATTGTCCCCAAAAAATATGCAAAACGAATTGTGACGTGAAATTGATTCAATTAAATCTTTTATGACGTGACAATTGAATTCTATTTTCGCATCTAATTGGAACTGATTGTAGTTATGCCCCGCCGACCCAATCCGAATCCGTCCGCCAAATAAAAATAATAATAAAAAATATAAACTCGGACACCATCGGGTAGATCTTTTTAAACACGTACTCGTATATATACGTATGAGTACTATATATTCAAAATTTGTTGTCAACGGTTCTCGAGTACACTTGCACCCTTTTGGTTTTTCTATTCTTGGGATATGACAGAATATGGCAACGGGTATGGACGTATGCCCCCTGGACAGTTTTCTATATTATTTGGGGGGTAATACTACATAGATAGATGTTTACCTTAACAAGAAGAATGACAGATTTTTAAATGATTTTCAACAGGGCGCAAGATTTCAGAAAATATGGCACACGTCTGGCACTGGTCATCAGATCAGATGCAAGCTATATAGTACCAAAAGATACTATAACCCTTAACCCATTAAATACCCCTCCCTCGAGTAGGTTTCACTTCTTTCAAGGGCTTATATAAAAAATTAAAAGCCATAAATTGACAAGTCTTTCGATTTCAGCAATTTCTTCCGACTCCTGTACATATATCTATATATATATGTATGTTTGTTAACCCCAGCCTGTTTGGGCCATGGCAATGTTGCCGCTTTTCAGCCAAGTTCATAGTACCCATTGCGGGCCTAGCCCAAACTGGTTGCCCAATTGTCTTCCCCTGCTGATCGCGAGGCAGAGATTGCCGTGTTGCAGTAATACACTTGGAGAAATATATTCATTAAATTTTATTCAAATAAATATAACAAATATCTTTTAGTATTTATGGATATTTTTTCACAGTGTAGTAGTTGCCATGGCCGTGGCAGTAACGGGTTGTGTGCTGTGGCACATTGTTGCCGCTCTTCAGTGGTTCGTTCAGTGGTGGCTGCTGAAAGAAAGTTGCACCCGCAACAGGCAAGCTGCCCCTGCAATAGCTCCCCCCTCCCACATCCCCCTGGTTGTTGCAGAAAAGAAAGCCGTTTTGTTTTAATTTTTTCCACAATTATTTTCCGCTAGCGCAGGAAAAATTATATGCTTTTATTTTTTGTAATTTTTTTTTTGCCTTTGTTTTTTTTTTTGCTCTGTATGTGTTGTGTTTTTGTTTTTTTTTTGTTTTGGTTACAAATTTCTCACAATTATTTGTTGTTGTTTTACGCAATAAAAAAACTTAACATTAAATACAATATATTTTTCGTTTTTTTGTAATAATAAAAAATTAATACATGTACTTTTTCGTATTTCTTTCTCTCTCGGGTTTTTTTGTTTTTTAATAAATAGGTTTTTTTCGCTTTGATAGATACTTTTTGCTGGTAATAGATACTTTCGTGTTTTATGGATGGTGTGTATGTGTGTGTATTTATGGGGGTGTGTGTGTATTTTTTGGGTATTTGTGAGAACATTAAGTTTTCCTTGTTACGTTAATTGTAATTTTTAAAAATTATATCGCATTTGCATTTGTTTTTATTTTTAATTAAATTTTAAATTTTATTTGAAGTTTTTTTTCTTGATTTTCCTTTCGCTGCTACATTTAAGTTTTTATTTTAAATTTTTTGTTTTTATATCGCAATTGGAGTTTTTTTTTACACAGACAAAAAAAATTTTACAAATTTTTTACGCTTTCACATTTACTGAGATATTCATTGCCTTAAATTTTACGCTTGATTTTAAATTTTAGTTTTTTTGTGGATTTTTTTCTCATTTGTATTTGTTTTTTTCTTAATTTTTTTTTGTTTTGTTTTGTGTGTAGTACGCGCTATACATTTAATAATATATAAAAATTTGTTAAAATCCTAAAATTTGTTGGTTTTAATTAATATTAATTAATAATTTAAAAAATTTTTATTGCAGCAAGCTGCGTCTAACTAAAATTGGAGCGTGTGTTCATCCATCCATCCACCCATCCACCTCACTGGGATGGAGGCCTCATCATCATCTTTCTCAGTTTTTTTAAAGTTAAATTTTAAATTTAGCAAGATCAAGTTTGTTTGTTTTTTGTTGTTGGTTTATGGTGTGTGTGTGTTTTGGGTGTTTTGTTTTTAAATTACTATTTAGCATACAATTTAAAAAAAAAAAAGAAATCTGTTCACAATTTAATTCTTATATTGTTGAGTGTGGGGGTGTTGCTGTTGTTGCATGTTGTATGTTGTATGTAATGTGTGTAATTTTATCAACGCCTTCTGCCGGTTTCGAATGCCCCGGCAGTAGGGCTCTTAGCATCTTAAACAGTATCACATATTCATGAGTTGTCGACCGGCGAGCCCGCTACTGGAGGCCCCAAAATGAATTTTCAGGATCCCCCGTGGGGCTGCCGTCTTTGAATTTCATGTTGGTTTTTTTTTTGTTTTTTTCCTTTACTTTAGTAATATTTATTAATTTTTTTGTTTTTTGTTTTTTTTCATTCCTTGCTTTTGCGTTTTTGAAAAAGGAGAAACAACTTAAAACTCTAGTTATTTGTTATAGCACTACGCATCTAAGTAAAATGGTGGTGAGAGTCACAATTACAAAAAATCCTCCAGGGCCTGGCTCCAGGCCCCCCCTTTCTTCTTTCTAAATAGTATTAGTATGAGAGTGTGGTTGGCGTACCCTAAATGTATGTATGTGTTTGTAGTGTGTGTGTGTTGGTGTGTAGGTGGGGTGGCTTCGAATACTTGCTTCGTTGTCGCTCTGCAATATCGCTCTGCAACAAACTACTGCTCTCTCGATCATCACAGGGGTGGTGTTTATTCTTCTTCTTCTTTATCGTCCTCTGCGCCCATTTATTTAGTTGGTGGGCGTGGCAATGGCCGCACTGGGACTATGGGTATGACTGCCGAAGCTATAGCTACGACGAGCACCCAATCCATCGGCGGAGTATAACTTGTTCTTGGTGATCGTATACTCTGGACTGATGGTGATCGTGCGGGCCAGGCTCTTCATGAACTGGGGCAGGAGGGACGTCCAGCCGCGATGATCCTGTCGCAGGGTGAGGTACACCTCAAAGGTGGACACCGTATCGGGATCGACCTTAATCGAGGCGATGCGCCTTGAGTTCTGTGGCTCGTCCTCGAACTCAATGTAGATGGTGCAGCCGCGGATGCCGCAGGGCTCCTTCTCGGACACCCGGACAATGTCGCGGGCGACGTTCGGCGTGAGATCACAGGGTAGGGAGACTTCGGTGCAGGTCAGATGCCTGGACTTGGCCGCCCTCAGTTCGTCGAGGAGGCGAATGGACAGATCCTTGACGGCCTTCGTGTTGAGATCATCGTCAGCGTAGTAGCTGCCCACCTCCTCCTCGTCGGCGTAGTAGTAGCTGCTGCTGCTGGTGGTGCTGTTGCTGGTGGTGTAGCTGGGCTTGGTCTTCTTGCTTTGGCCACCGCTAGTGCTATTGGCCGGCTGTTTGTGCTTAATACTGCTATGGCCCAAAGTGGCTGTGGTAGTGGTGGTGGAGCTGCTGCTACCGCTTACAGCGGCGGCGGTCTTGGCCTTCTTGGGCATCACAGCGGGCACAAAGTCTGTGATTTGTCCAACTGGCAGAGGTGTCAGTGTGCTGGTCCAATCTAAAAAATCAAAAAAAAAAATAATAAAATTTATGATTAGTTTTGAAATTTTAAAATTTTTCTTTAACAAAAACTTTAGTCATTTCCTTAAAATCTTAAAAATCAGTGAAAAGCAAAAAAACAAACAACTAGGCAATGAGCAACAGCCGCTTGGCAACAGCGAAATGCCAGATAAAAGGGGAGCACAAAAGACAGAGGGCAAGAGCCCACAAAACAAGCAACAACAACAAAAAAATCATTTTTTATTGCTATTGGGGGGCTCTGGTTGTTGCTTTTTCAGTGTTGCCGTGTTGCTGCTGTTGCCGATGTTGCTTTGCGTACGTGACCGTGTTGTTGCTGGTGTTGTCAAGCAATTTAACATGATTTTTTATGACATTTTTTTTTACTTTTGTAATTTAAAATTGATTTTCTTTTTAATTTAATTGCCGGCATTAAGGCTGATGAAATTTTTTCACCAAATTTCAGGAAATTTATTTTTCGAAAAAACCTTCTGGAAGTTTCTTGAAAACTTACCTCTAGTTTTGTTAGAGCCAAGAACACCGTCGTAGAATTGAGCTTGGATAACATCCATTTTCATTGGTTCTTCTGGGTTGCGGGTGTGGAAGTTTTTGAAAAAATCGACTCGAATCGACTTTTTTTTTTGGATATTGGTATTATTGCTCGATAATGTCGACTGTTCTTCTGGTTTCTATTGTTGATTCGCCGACGGCTTTACGCTTTTAGTTTTTATCACTTTTACAATTAATTAATTAATATTATTTTTATTTATCACAATTTGCTGTTGTTTGTTGTTTTTTATTTTTTATGCTTCTGCTGTTGATTGCTTCAAAATTTTTAGTTTAAATTAACATTTGTTGTTGTTGTTGATGTTGGTTGGTTGTTGTTGTTTGTAGTGGAAATCACAGCACTTTTGTTGTTTAAACTTTATTTGTTTTGTTGTATCACTTAAATGGCGTTGGTCCGTTGCATTTGTTTGATGGCAATTTTAATAATTTTTTGTATTTTTAATAATAATAACTTCAGTGTAGCATATAGAATTCTTCGTGAAACGTTTTTGAATATTACAATATATTATCTTGACAGTAGAAAATTTCTGGCTATGCACGACGTTTCTGATACTGCTCTGCTGCTTCAACTTTTCCGGCTGTGCTCTCAGTTTCTTTTTCTTAAAATTTATTTTTTCGAAGCTACTATGAACTGCTCTGCTCGAGCACGGCCTTATATAGGCGCCCGCCGGCCTCTGCCGGTACTGGCTGCGACGTCGGCAGCGGTGGTGGTGGCTCTCTCGCGGTGGCTCTCTTGCGGCCGGTTGCCTGTTTGGTCTGTGACGGGGGTGCAGGTAGCGGGTGTGAGAGAGAGAGGGGTGAAAATTGGCTGATGTAAGTCGGCAGTGTTTTACACAGCTCTCTCGCTCTCGCCGACACTCTTTCCTGTCTCAACAGCTGTCTTTTCCACTCAGCTGCGGTGCTCTTTGCTCGCCCCGTCTCACTCATGCGCACCTACAACCCGGCCGGCGTTGCTTCGACGTCGCCGCTCTCTCTCTCTCTGTGCGGTGTAATTGAGTGGCTGTGTTGGTGAGCCGTGCATACGTGACTTTTGAAAAAGCCAAAAAGGAAAAAAAAGAGAAAAGCCGGAAAGGACGGAACAGGAGGAAAATGTTCTCCCGCAAGGAAGAAATACACGTACACCAAAATCAACCCCCATCCCTCCCCCCCGCCATCCCTTTTTTTGTTACTGTGCTGCCGGCGCCGACGTCGATGCCCATCGATGCCGGCAGCGAAGAAGCTGAAGCTGAAATTTTCCACTGCACTCGCCTTGCACTTCAAAATCGAAACTCTATAGTTGCAAGTTGCATGTTGCAACAAGCAAAAGGCAACATCGGCTGTTGCCAGGCAAAAAAAACAACAGATACCCAGATACAAGATACAAGATACATCGTATACGAATCGTCAGAATTTCCACAGAAAGAAGCGAAATGCAAATTTTTCCCAACTCTGTCGATTTTCAAGGCGATTTTCTGTGCAGGCCCCCCCAGGCGGAAAATTCAGTGGCAGTAGTGGCAGTGTTGGGGCAGCAAAATGAATGGGAATTTTTGCGAGAAACTTGGCAACTCGAGCGAAAATGCTTATGGAGGAAAACTTTAATCACAGTTGATGTTGATGTTGATGTGTATCTTGTAATGGTTCGATCCAAATTAATTGCAAATTTTAGTTAGGAGAGTCGTTAAAAAAATGCCATAAAAAAAGTTGCTTAAAATATAATTGTATTTAATAATTTTTGTTAAATTTTATATTTTTTAAGCTGATGAAATGGGGGGTTTTCAGCTTATTTCAACAAAAGATTTCTTCATTACTTTATTTTTTGTTACTTTGTTAGTCATTTTTTAATAATTTCATGATATCTTATCTTCAAATATAGCTATGAATAGGTTTAATATTTTTAATAAAAGTTAAAAAATAGCTATGAATAGGTTTAATATTTTTAATATAAGTGATGAAAACTCTATGATTTATGTATATTTATTTAGAAATTTATCTTTAAAAATAGCTATGAATAGGTTTAATATTTTTAATATAAGTGATGAAAGTTCTATAAAACATACATATTTATTAAAAATTTAATTTTAATGATTTCCTAGTAATAATTCTCATAAAAATCTATAAATTCTCCTATGCGCTGACCAATTTCATCATAATTTTCAATTTTATGCTATGTGGGACCTGTTCTTATGAATTCATGAAGACCCAAGCCAGAGTATTTCATCAACAAATGAAAAGGAGTGTATAGGGATAATTTCATATTCATATCATGAAGATCTCGGGCTGTGTGTCCTTTCATTTCAATTGAATGCATTTTCTTGCCCATCTTTTGGATAAAATGTGTGTATTTTATTTTGTTGCCATTGTTGTTTGCTGACCAAAGCTGAGGCTGATGCTGCACGTAGATTGAAACCGAAAGATTGAAATGTATCTCATGAATACCCTCACACACATACTAGGATGCTGGCGCAAATAAATAAAATCAAATTTCTTTCAGATTGAAATGAAATTCCATGAAGCACGCATCTGTATCTGTAGCTGTATCTGTTAGAGCGCGTGTATGCCTGTGTATGCCTGCCCTTGTATCTTTAGGATATCTTTCGTGCCACATTAGCTTTATGTAGATGTGTTTTGTCAGATAATAAATGAATTGAAACGAGAACTTCTTTTGTTTGTTTTCCTGCCCCTTGACTTTGGCTTGGCTTTGGGATGTTTGAGTCGATTTTGAGCCAAATTCGATTCGATAACCTGAGCTCTGTTTGGAGCTCTTTGGAAATTTCACAATCTTTGAAATGTGAACTAGGGGATTGATTAGAAACAGGCCTTAAAATTGGCAAAAAAAACGAGCCTCTTGAAAATAAACAAAGAAACGAGTGATTCAGGTTCCTCTAGAGGTTAATGATCATAAAAGAAAAAATATAATATTAGATCGATATATATATTTTGATACTTTATTATTCTTTTAATAGAAAGAACCCTTAAGACTTCAATTTCTTTTGAAAATATACCTTCAAAAAACTTCATTAACTTTTTTAATTTAAATATCCTCCTTAATATATTCATGATTATCACAAAATAGACTTCAAATGTTGCGAATTGAAAAATTTTGCAAGGTAAATCAATCAAGTTTGAGATTGAAATCCACTTTCCAAACTGTTTCCTTTGTGAGTCGACTCGAACGATACATCACCGCCGAGAACTTTCCCTCGTTGTGTTCTTCGTCGCTTTTCCGGGAAAGCAATTTTCACAAAGTTTATGCTTTTGGCTTTCGCTCTTGTGGCCCCCTCGAAGGCAATTTGTAAATTTAAATTAGTTTTTACTAAACACAACACATTTTCACCCCAAAAACACACACACACTGGCACACACACAAGCTCAAACACATACATATGTATGCATAAATTTTCATTAAAAAATAAGAAAAGTGCCTGCCTGCCGGTTGGAGGGCAAGCAGGCGGGCGGAAAAATCACAGAACGTGTGCAGAACCCAAGAAAATTATCAAGAACAAGTTGAGTTTTTCTTTTCATTTTTTTTTGGCAAATTGGAGGTGGTAGTCAAGGTTGGAAGGGGGTTTCCCAGAAACCATAGCCAGCCAGACCAGATAGCAGGTGAAATACAAAAAAAAAATTGTGAGCAAATTATCCATTTATCTATCGGATCTAGATCGACTTTCGTGAAATTCTCTAAAGAAAAGTTATGACGAGCACAAATTCGGGAAGTTCATTGTGCCAGCCAAGTCTTTAGATATAAATATATATTTTCGGACTGGCAGCCAAAATCCAAGGAATTTGCCAAGTAATTTATGGCTGCGAAATGGAAAACAAATCTGCGATAAGCTAATATGATAAAGGTGTTTGATCGATCCACTCCGATAAGGTCTGAAATCCAATTGAAAAGAGAAAATTATTTAGTCATGCTACTAATTATCATTAAAGTGGTAATTGCAATAAAATAATTAATTTTTAATATATTACAAAAATAAAAACACCCAAAAGTATCTCAATCCCTACCAAAAAATATATTTTTCTCAAAAAACAGTACATGTGGCGCCATCTATGGGCCAAAGTTTCCATTCACTACCGCCGACGTGACCCACCAAGCGTATGAGTGCAAGAGAGATGGGAGACGCTATAGCGAATGTGACAGTCCGTTGAGGAAAATGATTTGGCAGTTTTTCTTCGGGGAAATGCTTAAAATTAGAACTGAAATTAGATTTCAATTGAATTGAGATGTCCCCCAGATGCATAATTGATTTATGCAAAACGAAGTCGGAAAATCGGAAAACTCTGCCGAGAGCGAGAAAAGTTTCTTAGTCCCAAAAAGTAACTATGCAAATGCAAATTAGTACATAAGATATATTTCTTTTCTATCCTCTTTTGTTACAAAGTTTTTTTTTCGTATTTTCTCATTTAAATAATCTTTTATGAAAATCGTATCTTTTTTCCTTAATTTCTTACAGGCCGAAAAGTTGGTCGAGTGCTCTAAAGAAAAATCACTCATGCTCTCTCTCTTAGCTAAGAAAAGTCACTCAAGAGTAATGGTTTTCTCTTAAGCCATTTTAGTTCTCTTATTTCTCTTTTTTTTTAGAAAAATCAACCCTCTTGGAAAATACTCAAAAGTAACCAAGTAACTTGGTTGCCTGCCACCCCCAACCATCACTCTCTCACTCAGCTGTTTAATTAGTGCTCTCTTCGTGCTGCCTCTCTTTGGCTCTTTGACTCACAGCTGATGTGGTTTTACTCTTTGAGAGTAACTTTTGTATCTTGCTTGTAAGTTTGCAGCTGTTTCGCTCATCATATGTTTTTGAGTCGGGCCCCCCACCTCCTACACCCGCAACTCCCCCCTCCCCCCAACCCGAGGGTATGCATTTGTGTATGTGTATTTGCATTGTATACAGAAAATCAGCCGCGGACGCTGCAAGAGCTGGTGGTGGTGCTGCTGCTGCTTCTGCCTCAGCCGGCGTATGTAGCTCCAAGCGCAGTCAGTAAAATACATACTTACAAACACACTGATATACAAATGTATCTTGATTTTCCAACTCGTTTCGCGCAGTCAACGGGCCCCCCAAAAACGCACATACAAACATACATACATACCTGCAGAGCAGCAAACAAACAAGCTCATACATGCACTCCCACCCATACAAATGCATTCAACAATGGAGACCATTAGTATAGAAAACTCCCCTATTAGAATAGACTCCTCTTTTGTCTGAAAGTGATTTTGTAATGATATTTT